ATTCTTGCACGTTATCTTACTGTATTTCCTGTGGGGCTCAGCATGCTGGTTGGAGTAAACAAGGGTGTGCCCCGATGAGTGCTGCAGGTTGTTATGGGTCAAAATAGCAGGTAACTCACATTATTTGTGTACAAAGTTTCAGTCCCTTAATAGCATAGCAAATCTTGAAACTAGGCTTACACACTTCTGTGGTATGTGGGAAGAATGCCTGTTTCTCTAGACTTTGATTATAAATTCTGTACATTGAATAATTTATGTTAACCAGGATTCTCAAATAAAACCAGTGAAAATGCAAATAATGCTTCTTCCTTTTTATGAGAAAACTTCTAAGAGCATATAAATATTTTGTTAGAAGCTCCATTTCAGATAGCAGACCTCTAGAAATTAGGGCACTGAGCTGTAAACTTCACATCCTGTTTTTTCCTTAATACCATCTGGGGAAAATAATGGAATCTAGGCTTTCTTGTCTTTCCACAGATCATACAAGCAAAAAGGCTATCACTTGCTTTGTTGTGTTGAGACTGTCACCATTCATGTGAAGCCTAAACCTCAGATTAATCTCTGAACCATAATGGTTTTATTTTCAAAGCAGCAAGATTAACTTAAAAGCTCTGTGTGACTTGAGGTTCTGACTGCCTGAGGCTGCTCTGGTCTCTAGGTCTCCTTACAATGGCCATATCTCATCCAGCTCCTCACTAAAAGGTGTTGCACTGACTCACTGACCTGAGAAACAGAGAGAAACAGAGATGGAAAACTGACTTGAGTCTTCTTTCTTACATTTAATGTAACAGGAATAATATTAATAGGGTTTGGGCGTTTGTTTGCTCATTAAGCAGTCAGCAGGAGCTCACTTAATGGAGCTCAAACTCACAGTTATTATATTATCACTTAATTATTCAGCACTGACATCACTGCATCTTCCCAGCAGGCAGCTGTACAACTTGGAAAGGGGTGTGTTTCACTTCAGCCTTGTACATCTTGATGAAAATAGGGTAACAGGTGTGGCTGGAGGCAGCTCTGTGCCGGGCTGATCATGCCTTACTTCATATAGCCTTTCAAGCAAACCAGGCCCTCATCACAGAGCACAAGCCATGGGAAGTTATTCTGAAATAGGACAGCTACAGAGAAGAATAATCAGGGGAAAGGAGCTGCCAGTAAAAATGTCACATTGCTGTACAACTGTGCTTGCTGAGATATTTTTTGGTTGTTTAATAGAGAGAAGGGGAGAGATGGATGCTTTTGCAGTGGTTAAGTGTTTACCTAAGTTTCCTGAAATCTCAATTCTTTAGTTAATCTACAGGTGAAACTAATTTAACACCATGAAACTGCTGTTTCTCTGTGAGTTAGTTTCTAGTGTAGACTTCCCTGTAGCCCTTGAGGAGTTAATTGTTTCTTGTGTCTTTCCCAAACAAAATCTTGTCAAGTGGCCAGGCAATACAAGCCAGATTATCCTGCCTCTCCACAAAGCTGTGTTGCGGGAGGATGCTGTAGAGTTTTTGTTCTCATGGTGGAGTTTTAATCACTTTTCTTGCAAACATGCAGCTCAGCAAAGGCCAGATGCCAGGCAGTGTAAGGTCTCAGCTGGGTCTCTTTGTACAACAGCTACATTGCCAAAGTTACTCATTGTTCAGGTGGCAAAATTGGGGTGAGTCAAAAGTGTTCAGTTTTGCAAGGCCACACACCAGCTCACTACAGAAAACGTGGAAAAGCAGCAAGAGGCAGGAATACTCTGCATAAGGGCTTGTGGGGTTTTTCCATTGTTCTGTGCAGAAGAATATGTTCTCTTAGTGCTTTCTCAAGGGAAAAGAAAAATCTCTTTGGGCAGAATTGTCTCTAACAGAAATGATTGGCAGACTTATGCAGAAGCACATTCCTGCAGATAAGTGATTGCTTCTTATATAAGGGAACAGCTTTTGCAGGAAGTCCTGAATGCACAACTTTTGAACATCTTGTATTCAGTGTTGAGAACACATGACACAGGAATTTGTATTCACCAGAGTGAGAGACCTGTGAAGTTTCTGGCAGTGACTTTATAGATTATGTTTGTTGCTGTGTCATTCTGAGATTTAGAGGTGATTTTAAAGGGTGATGTGCAAAGGCAGAAATGGTTTTATTCCATTGATGTTATAAAGGTACCTACCTTTTTGTTGAGTCTGTGGATCAGGGTCTAGGAATTTGCAGCCACAGAGGGATCTCTTCAACCCATTCTCTTCTTTGTTCAACTTTGTGTCTGTAATTTTCTTTCTGTTGTTAGCAAGACAACACAAAGGTAAAATTCTTAGAGCCTTGGTTTGTTCAGAAGAAATTACTCATTTTCTGTTCCCACATTCCTGAGGAGAGGAAGCCAAGAATGTTGGGGGGAAATAGAGACAAACTACAGGTAACACATGAGGCTTGAGGAAATAGCTCTGATGCTTGTGGAATATTGAATATTAGAGAAGAGTGACCCCATATCTGTAGATATGGCTTGATATCTACCTGGTGAAGAGATTACTGCCTGGTGTGATTTCACTAACTGAGTTTTTTGGATCTTTGAGGTGTTTTTATAGACTTCAGAAAATTTTTGAGTGTCTTACTACATGGAGACATACATGGGAGGTACGTAAGATCACTGATATATTACTGTATATTACTTCTGCATATTACTTCTATGGAAAGCTCATGGAATTTTTATGAGGCAAATGTCCTCTGTATGCAATATAGGAAAGGCAGCAGGGCTGGCAGAAGCTGAGTAGCAGGAACCCTGAAGTTTGGTGCATGCAGATGGTGGGGTTATGAACCCCACTGAAGTTTCCTTCCAAGAGATGCCTTCATTGTATATTTAACCTAGGTAAAGGCATTTGGAAGTGAGCATCCCCAAAACAGATAAATATAGGTAAATTCCAGTGTAAAGAACTGAACTGGCAAACTAGAATGCGGGCTGACATCACATTCAGTCTTTTGGGGCTTAGGGCATTCTGCAGCCACAGTATCTTCTTAACATTGAACAAATGACTCAAAGTCATCCTATGACTTCTTTCCTGCCCCTACAATTTTTCAGGGAGAGTTGACAAAATTGTTCAGCCACATAGGCAAAGCATGATCCTAATTGAGTTATTTTTTCAATAAACAGTTTCTGATTTTCAGTCTATAGCTTTGTTCCAGTGGAAAATAGCTATAAACATCCAAGGATGATGACAACTTGACCTAGTGCCTGGCATCAAGACAAATCTGTTTTTGAGGAAAGGAGGAGGTGCCTAATAAACCAGGACACACCTGGACAGTCCCTGTGGCCAGACACCCATTACCTTGAGAAGCCTAAGAAGCTGCAGCCCTAGAAGGATTTTGCCAGCTCTGCTCTGCTCCAAGGAGGCCAGATTTCCCAGATATCAGGTGTTAGCTGTGCCACAGCAGGATATACATGCATACACAAGGTTCTGCAACACCTCAGTGTTTCTGATGCTGATGCTGTTCAGGAGTTTGTATGTGTTACCAGTGTAAGGGAAAACAACTATAAGGAGAACAGTGTTTAATAATGAACATGCAGAAGTAGCACCAGGAATGGTATTTTTCTGACTTTCAAGGTTCCCACAATAAGCAGAATATCTCTTTTTTATGCTTTATTTTTGTAACTTCACTCTACCCTCCACCTAAAAGGTGGACTTTTTATTCTCCCTGAGTTTGTTTTGCTCTGCTGTCAGTCAGAATAGTGACTTGTGACCTTTTAGGGCTGTGACCAGTGTTTCCTGACAGTGCATTAGCCCAAGCTATTTCGTGCATTATTTGACAGCATAGAGATGACATAATTTGCAGTAAATTAATCGCAAACACAACTCTTGCAAGCTCTGTCTTGCACGCACTCTACCTTGGGAATTCATCTGCTTCTTTAACTTGGTACAGAGAAAGTCTTGTCTTCATTGCTTACAAGTGTGCAAAGAGATGGCTAATTGAGCTGTTGCCATCTTTGTTGCAAATGAGACCAGCATTCTGGAGCTGTAGTCTCAAGAGCACTATTAATCATCTTAAAGTGTCCTTCTTACTGCAAGCCCAGAGTAATGTAGATTGATTAAGGAACTGGGGGAGAGATGTGTGAAAACAATGTATGTGACAGATGTGCCTATGGCCACTGGATTAAAAAGGAAGGAAAACTTGCTTTCTCTGGATTTATATTTAGAACTATTAAACGTTTAAAGAAAATTAATGCAGCTACCTAAAATGTTCAAATGCTTATAGTTCCCCTCAGATAGATGGAGCTGCCTCTAAAATACCCCCGTGAATTGAAGCAGGGACATCCAGGATGGTGGCCCTCCCTCCTGTAGCATGAAGTGCAGCCCACTCTGATGTTCTCACTGTTCCTCCTTACTTTGTCCCTCTAATTTATTCCTGAGAGGCTGAGGCTGACAGGGGAGTGATAATTATGTGCTGACTGCTCTAGTTAACCTTCAGTGACCTACTCCTGTTGCTTTGCTGGCAGGAGCCCCCTCCCCACCTTACAGGGAAGTGACAGAGGTGCTGCTGGTGCCCCAGTGGGTGGCTGCAGTCTCACACTCGAGTGCAGCCATCTGTGCTCCCTGTCGATCTAACACGTGTAAAATACCAAACTAACATGATGAAGGCAATCGGGGGTAGGTTAATGTGAAGCTGGAGAGAGACTTTTTCTTCCCTTGTTCTTTTATTCTACTACATTGTTTCACCATGATCCTTTAAAGGGTTTTTATCTGTTGTATATTCATGCTTCTGAATAGTGCTGCTTGCTGAGAAAGCACTGCAAGATGTGCCTCTTCAGGGTATTTAATTTTGATCTCATGTATGGCAATCGACAAAGGTATTACTAACAGGAGTTACTGCATCGTGGTTCACATCATCTGTGCTTCCAGAGAGTCTGGGATGAATCCCACAGAGAATTTAGGAGCTGCTTTCCAAAGAGTTATGGCTGGAACAGAGAAGCAAGGAGCTGCCAGCATGGCTGGCACTTCCCATTCCAGGAGAGAGAGGACAAGAGACATCCCTCGTCTCCACCAAGGATGCCCTTCGGAGTCCAAGGGCAAAGGGCTGGTGCTGATCTTTGCCCTAAGAAGGGAAAGCACAGTTCAGATGCCCTGCTAGGCAGGAGTGGTAGGTGCTGCAGTCTGTTCCCAGCCCTTTGTGGCATCTGTGGGGAAAGCAAGGACATTCTATCTTTCTCCTTCAGTCACCTACAACAATAGCTGTCATGATCAGCTAGGTAACTTTTTTATGCCTTTTGTTTTCTGCACAAAAGCCTTTCCACATGAAAATGAGCAGGATTACTCATTATAAGCACTCAGTTGCTTTAGCTTTCATCTCCCTTTTGCCCTGTCTGAGTTGATCCTCCATAAAAGTTAGTTTTATTTCTTGAGCTTCCACTCAAGCCATGAGGTGAGGGTGCATCTGGACAACACAGTGCAGTGCAGAGACCTTCCAGTCTTGCAGCAAACAGATCATGTCCATGGCTGGAAGCAGGACAGGACTACCAGGGCTAACTTCTCCTCTCTCCCAAAAATATCTCTGAGACTGGCAACAGGAAGCAGCACAGTCCTAGCAGATGTGCAGTAACAAGGGGCAATTTAAACCATCTTCTTGGCTGTGCTGTTCAGGACCCTCAGTATATTGTGGGTCCTGCACGGGAATGCAGTAAGTAAGGTGGCAGCTTATCCTCAAGAATGCCTCTGTTGAACACTTGCATTCTACTCATGAATTGCCTTTGGATACATATGATGGTTTACATTAAGTAATTTTCTTGGTTGGTTTGCTATATCAACCCTAATTCGCCAATCTTGTCCACACCAACACATCTGTTTGCTCCACTTGAATAGCAAAATTTGGGTGTCTCAGCAAAGGATGCTGAGTATCATTTACAAATTGGTACAGAAAAAGAGTAGTTTTATCTCCAAACAGGACTTTACTTCTAGTAAGATTAGTGAATGAGAGCATGGAAATTCATTTTGAATCTCTGTTTCTCCCTTTTATTCTGATATCCCTAATTTTATTTTCAGAAGTGCAGGGATGCACCTAGTCAACTTGGCTGTCTCTTCCTGGAATACATGGAATACAAAGGATCCATGGAAAAGCAGTCTGAAGCAGCTTTCACAACATAGCATCTCCCACCATGTCCCCAGACTGCAAATTACTAATTTTGCTGAGCCACGAGGCACAGAGAAAAGAAGGAAGATCAAGGTATCTTTCACAGGGAACTTGAAGCAAACAGGGACTAAAAAATAAATTAATAACTGAGTTTACTCTTATTTAAGCAACACTGGCAGAAGTTCTTTTAGTGACCTCTACAAAGCTTTGCTGAGGCATCCTTTTATATTCTTCTAGTAGATTAAAGCTAACTTTCATAGCTCTACATTTCCTGTTTCATAGATGCATAGGATATCATCCTTGATATGCATAAAAGAGAGCTGATTAGAGAGCCACCTTGAAGACATGACTTTACCAAGTCATCCAATTTTGGAGACACAAAATGATTGCTGGGTTTTGGGCATTTCTCCTGAAAGGGTGAATGAACTGATTAAGCTGGAACTGTCATTGCCTTTTTCTTGCCCACAGAACCAGGCACTGCCTCTAGTGAGATGACAGAGAAGAAATGCTGCGGGCAGCTATTTCAACAGCTCTTTACCAAACAGATTATGCACGATTTGTCTGGCATTGAATCACTGGCTTGTGTAAACACCAGATGCAAGTGAAATGCAATGTCTTAACTAAAATGCTGTGTTTTGGCCCGTGGAAGCAATAGATTATTAAAGTTAATGCTACTGTTACCTACATTTATTATGTGATATGTTATATGATTGTATTATCCTCTCTGTCTCCCTGTCTGTGCCAGGGGCTGCTCTCACACACAGGAGCTGCTGGTCTAGTGCCAGGAAAGAGTGCTGTTGAGACCCCCATGCATGCTTTGCTCTTACAGTTAGCTCAGAGGGAATGTTTCTTGATGTCTCCAGAAATCATGTCTTGCTGTTTGATGCCCTGAAGAAGGGCCTGGGCACTAGCAACCTTCCTGTTCTCTCTCCAGTGCCTGTGCCTCTGTCCTTAGGGGTGGACTGATTCTAAGATCCCCAGGGAGAGGCAGGCACAGGGCTTATTCTGGCCAGAGGGAAGATGTGACCATAGCCTGCTGGGGTGAGTGTGGAGGAAGAGAGACATCTGCAAACATTTAAACTGCATAGACACAGCTCATGGGGTATATGCCTGCCATTCTGTCCTCCAATGGCTGCCAAGAAAATCTGCAGAGATGCAGGAAAAGCACTGTTGTCACAGGGCTCTGGCCTTCCCAGCCCAGTCTCCTCTGTAGCAGTGCTGGCCACAGCTCCAGGGAGTGTCCAGGTAAGTGCAGGACACGGGTCTGTGCTGGAGAGCTCTTGCTGGGTGGCCAAAGGAGCTGGAGGTAGGTGTCCCACCTGAAGGTCACTCCTGGGGCACCTCCCCACAGCCCTCCACGAACATGCATCTCATCAAGCAACACATGTGCAGATGTAGTGGTTCAAGGTGCTCACCCCTGAAACAGCAAAGCATCCAGGTGGCTAATGTGCAGCCATCAAGACATTGTAGCTGTTTATAGTAAATATGTCCCTGGGGATGAAGAAGATATCCATGAAGATGATATATATTAATGTGTGTATGTATATACACACAGTTTACACCCCACCAAACTTTTCATAGTCTCATAGCAACCCCATGCCTGAACCTAGAAGCACACCTGCTCTTGCAAGACCTTGCCTTGAATTTTTTTTTTCTAGATGGGCAACAAAATATTTGATTTCTTTCCTTTCTGCTCTTAGAAGGACAGCATTATCAAAACACTGCCTACAGATCTGGAGAAGAGAATGGGGAAAGCTGTATGCAAAAGGACAGCCAGTGATGGTAACTCACTGCATTATCTGCTGTGATGGGGGGATTCAAGACTGTCAAGAAGAGCTGCTGGTTTACCTGAATGGTGTGGTCAACTGAGCAATGGCAGAATTAATTAATACAGCTTGCTTTACAAACAAACAATTATATTACATATATTCAAGTATGACGGCTGGTATTAGAAGAATTAGGTGGTGCAGAGACTGAACTGGCAGGGCATTAGTGATACATGACAGTCTGAGGAATTTAGTCATTGATGCAAAGAGACTTCTGGAAACTGAGGTAGTTCTGCATCTTACATACTGCCCGGCTAGGGAAGAGTATCTTGTCCTGTCCAGCTCTGCAGTTACCACAGCCAGCAATGAGGTGGGGGACTTCTTGGTTTCTCCTTCCAGTGGCTCCTCAGCGCTGGCAAGGAAGGATGAAGAGTTGCTCATGCTCAGCATGATGCCTACTTCATGCACAAAGTAGCAGTTGAGGATAAGGTCTGAGGTTTTCCAATACTGTTCTACCATGAGAAAAATAATTCAATTATCTGACAAAAAAATATGGCTTAGAGGTGCTGAAATGTGTTCCTTCTTGGTGAAAACACATAATTATGGAAAGTCATTAACCTTGCTGCAGAAGAGCTGTATCTTGATGCTTTAGCAATCCAAAGACAAAATGTGAAGTACCTGTTTCAAGCTCTCAGCTTTACTCAAGCCATCTGGGATCTGCACAAGCCATCTGATAACAGGTTTGCACCACTGGTCTGTTAAATTAACTTCATTAACCACCCACTCTATAACAATGTGTAGCTTTGTGCAGCTTTCTTTTTCTATCATGCAATTCATCGAGTTAACAAATATCCAAGAAAACCAGCATTCTCTGAGTCTGGGAAAGGACAGAAACTATCATTTTGATCACAGTGATCTTGAGTCTGAACTTTTTAAATTAATCCCCTGTTCCTTCTGACCTCTTTACCAGCAAAAGGTTTGCAACCTTCTTTTTCATTGCTGTAGCACCACATAGTGAGGAGTGAGCTAGCTTTTCCATTACAAAGCACTTTTTCATTTCTCAGTATGCTGAAGCCTGGCACACAATGCTAACCCAAGATGCAGGAAGGTTTTTTAGCAGCTTAAAGCAAATTAAGTTTCCTTTGAGTTTTGGGAGCAAACAGGGTTGTTTTTTTATGAGGGGAAAAACTGGGTGGTTTTAACTGGAGTCTGGCAAAATTGTGTATAAATAGAGCCAGGAAAGCTAAGTTGTTTCTCAGGCTCTAAATATACTCTTTCCTCTTACTCTGACAGAGATTTTATTTTTAAAAACAGACAAGATTCCAGCAATCTTAGTTCTTGCTTTGAATAAGTTCCTTCTTTCGTTCATGTAATGCATTTGCCTTTTTTTGTTTTATTTTGCCTTGCCAGTTCAATACTAAATAGAGCCATCCCCTGTCCTAGATTTATCTGCACAGGAAATCCATCCTGTTTCCACTGTAAGCAGCTTCTTTGGGTCACCCTTAGCACAACTCTGAGGACAAGGTGATCACAAACAACATATACATGGAATCCCTGCATGATTTCCAGGGAATGCAGAGAAGGCTCATGCTGGTCTTGCAGTAACTTTACCAAAACACAGTCCTGGCCTGAGAAACAATGTGTTGAAGATGCAGGGCAAGTATTTACAAGTCCAGTTTCCTTCTTAGATCTCCCCAGCCTGAGATGTAGCTCTCTTTCCCCAGGGGGAGTGGGCTTTTCTCTCCTTCATTACTTCTGTTGAGAAAATATTAATAACACCACTGGTAATATCATGTGCTTTACGGTCAGTTGCCTCTGTTTTATTTGTAAAGTATTCCGAGATGCTTGAATAAATCCAAAACACCCTGCAGCCATAAGCCGTACTGGAGGAAAATTGATTGAGTAAACTGAAGTCATTAGAGGAAGTAAACAGTGTTAAGCAAGATACATGAATGTATAAATCTACACTCCTGCTTTGTCCATTTGAAGATCACTATGTAGTATAGACCTACGATCTCTAGATTAATTTTGACTTGAATTGGTTTCTGACTTGTATCGGATGTTATTTTCTTACTAAAATTATGTTTTACAAAGAACTGGATTTTAAAAACTGATGTCCATCTAGTTCCCCTTAAATCACAGACAGCATCTACAGAGGCATGAGTGGTTTTCACTTTTGTAACACCAGTACAATAGAAGAAATGTCCAGTGAGTGCTGCCATTTATGTGCTGCCTCCTCCTAAAGGCAAAATTGTCTGTGTGGCCATGTCCAGTGAGCATGATGAACATTCTGTTAATGTAGATCCATCCTCAAAATCTAATCTAAGACAAAATCTAGATGGAAAATTATTAAAAATAAATGTCCCTTCTTGTTAAAACCACAACACAGGAAAAAGTCACCCTTCTATAAGGTTAACCCTTTTGTGATCCTTGGAGCCTGTAGCTCTCAAAGTTATCCGCCCAGGGGGAGTTTTCATCAGTATGTGCTTCATCCTCATGTAACAGGGGGAGGAAGCTGATACAGCCCATCTGTTTCACTTTTGAGGCAGAGACATACGGAAGCTGATTTGCCCGGCGTAATTTGACGCGCTGAATGACAGCGCCAGGAAGAGAGCTCATGTCTCGCGTGTGCGCCACTCTGCTCCCGCCTGAGATCAAAGCAGCCCCTTTCCTTTGCTGCATCTGTCACAGACAAGGAGCTACATAAATAGCCTTGCAGCAGCACTTGTGCTCTGACAAGCACATGATTCAATCCCTCAGCAGAAGCAATGCTGAGCACAGTTACAGTTGCACTTAGTGGAAATGTCCCATAGGAGAAGGGGTGTCCAGTGCACAACTTGCAGTCCCACTTTTCAGTCCCAAAAACATCTAAGATTCAGTGTCATTCTTTCAGCTAATGGTACCACATTTCCTGCATGAAGAACCTCTTGTGATATCAGTTCTGAGTTTTGTCAATAGTCCTTGTGTCCCTAAAACCACACTGAACATACAACAGCAACAGCAAAGTAAGTGGTTGAGGGTTTTTTTCCTAATTTTTATGACCCGACTTTCTTTTGGATGCAAACAGAAATCTTTCAGTTGGGACCATAGCATAGTAGTCACATAGAAGTCACATTGTGCCATTGCCTCTCTTGGTGATACAGTCAGCTTTGCTGGGACATCACCTCTATGAGCAATCTGCTGTGTGCATCTGTAGGAGAAATTTAGCTGAATACTGTGAAGGTAATGCAGTAAGGACTTGAATAAAACCTTCAAAAGCCTTATAAAGTTGGTTTCTCGTTTTAATACAAGCTGTAATTCTCTTTCCTTATTACATGAAGTAAATTTCTAGCTCTAACATCCAAGGACAGAAACCAAATTAAATAAAAACTACTTTAATTGTATGACACAAGGAATGGAATACTTCTAATGTCCTTAACAGAGTCAAATTCCCATTTAACAAATGAACAAGAAACAATGTCATGCTTCGGTATATTACCTATTGTAGTATTCATGGTTGCAGACATAGAAAAAAAATAAAGCCCAGTCTTTTGAGGTGAGGTACCTGCTAGAAATTTGTTCAGTAGATCAAGGTACAAGGATTCAAATTAAAACAGTCTCTGAATTCATAGCGAAAATTCTCCAAATTAATTTCATCCAAATATTCCCTGCTCAATGGGATCCCTGAACACTAGTTTAGCACTGATCTGGACTTTCATTTAACTTTCCTTTTTCAGTATTGGAAACCCATGCTCAGAAACCTTTTATAGAGCATGGTGTACCCCATATCATATTGATGGAGTTTTTAATGAACAGTATTAAGTGGAGATGACAGATACCTGCCTCAAACAAGCTAAGGGTACCATGGTATGAAATGGACCAAAACCAAAAGCTACTGTGATATTTCAGGCTTGCTTC